GATGCGAAGGCTGGTGTGTCCGAAGGAGTCGGAAGCAGAATCTCATGTAGGAACAAAGTGTCCAAGTGTCTTGAAAGGGGGTCTGCAGCGGTCTTGATCAGGTCTTTGGAGTAGGTGGTAGAAGCGGTCTTCAGCAGCTGCGATAGGTAGAAGTCCAAGAAGCGTAGTAATAGTTCAAGTGTCAAAGTCCAAGTGCTAGGGTGCGTCCGGTACACGAACTGCAATGAGGTCTGATCTGGAAGCAAGGAAGTCGCAGACTGATGCAAAGATCCATTTCACAAGTTGCTGCTCCAGTAAGTCCGCGAGTCGGGATGCCGGCCAATGAAACAGCATGGTGGCCAAACCAGCTGCATATTCTCCATGAACAGTGAGGCAGCAGATCATCGTCCTCGTGCGCTTGCCATTAGATCCTTTATCGCCGGCGTCACGCAAGTTCACAAGCATTGGACAAGAGAGACAAGGTAGTGGAGAGGACAGATGGGACAAGGCTAGGCGAGGGCAAGGGCAGATMAGACATCARGAATGAGGATCAAKGSAARKGTGGACTGGGTTCAAGGGTGTGTGTAGWGCAGGGTTGCAAGGGTTTTTAGCGGGGGTTTATGCCATAGTGATATAGGTATCTAGGACGTAGGATTAGCACGATCATAGGCGCGAACAAGTTTCATGGCGTTCTTAAGATTATAGAGAGGTTCCCATGTAGATTCTTCGGCGGGGTATCCGGTCCATTTGACTTTGTATTCAGTGATTGGTTCCGGATGATGAGATACCTGAGTGGCTTGTCGGCCGATGATGGTTTCGACAACGAATTCAGGGCCTGTGGGTAGCATGATTGGTGGAGGTCTAGGATATGGGCGGTCAGTGAACTGGAGCGGAGAGTCATGGTATTCTTTTAGGTACTCGACATGGAAGACTGGGTGGACAATGTTCAGGTGGAGGGAGGAATGGGAGTAGAAGGGTCGGGTCCCGTGGAGCGAGGGGCCTGTCGAGTAAAGTGGCTAGCGTTGGGGCAGTTGGTCTGTTGATGACCTAACTGGCGGCAACGAAAACACCCGTTGTGTTCCTGGAGGTATATGCGTTCTGCGGGTGTGAGTTTCTGGAGGTGGCGGGGTGGAGAGGAAGAAGGCGGTCAAGAGGCACGATCCTGGCGTTCCATCCGTATAAGGTGGGCGGTCTGGAGGTCCTCGATGGTGAATTGGGAGGGGTCGAGAGAGGCAGTGTCGAAGTCGTCATCGGAGGTGGGTTGAGTGGTGTCGTTATGGAAAGAGAGGGGGCGGGAGGGAGCGGGCGCGGACTGGTGATGGGGGTGGAGGAGTCGATCATGGTGAAGCATGCGAGAGAGGAGGTCAACAAGGGGCATGTCGGGTTCGTGGGCGAGGGCGGTGGCAAGATCTTTGTGGCATACTCGCTTGATGCGGGAGATGAACGCAAAGTCGGGAATGACGGTGGTGGGGAGGTGATGGCGGAGGGAGCGGATGTATTGGACGAAGAGGGCTGTGGGACCGGTTTGGCGGAGGTGGCAAAATTGTTCGAGGTAGTCGTCAATGGTTTTTTGGGGGCGGAAGGTGGCAGCGAGAAGTTTGGCCCATTGGAGGAAGGAGTGACGTGGTCCTCCAGAG